TCGATGTCCATGTCGAAGTAAGAGGCAAGGCGTATCGCGGGCTCCGATCCAGCTGATAGAGGAACAGGCACCATGCACAACCATGTACAAGCAACAACCAAGCAAGGTAATGCAAGTGTGGAAACCACCCTTATTTTGTATGCTACCCCACTCGCGTGCGTCTAGTCCTCATTTAGCTCGAAGATAGGTCTCGCCTTGGCTTTGCAGCTGTCGGGAGGATTAACAGGCCGGTATGGGTCGGAGACCCCAACAGTCTCCGATGGTGTGATTCCACGTGATGCACGTACAGGTTGATGAAGTTGGGAAGCGTGACGTGCGCGAGCTGTCAGTTGTTGAGAAATCCCCTCTTGGAGACGAGTCAGTTCTTCGGTAGAGAAATCCGCCGCATCCGAGGATCTAAGGATCGCTTCTAACATCTGCGGTGACATACTCAATGCCGCGGATTGCGTGGCCACGCTGTGATGATCAGGAAAAGACATAGAATCAAAGTCATGACCAGCTTGAGGGGCAGCGACTCTCCGATAGCCCTCTGTGGCCCAGTCTCTTTTGTACCACATGGTGACATTGAGCTGCTCACCGTCTTGGTCCGGGTTGGGAGCATAGAACTCCCTCCACTCTCTATACGTGTGCGGTGGAGGTGGAGCATCATGTTCTTCATGTGGAGTCCATGATCCCGGATGAAAGATCTTGACCCACTGGGCATCTGGTTGTTGAGGATCCGGACACCATTCCAGCCACGGCATGACAACGCAAACCCGGAAAGACAAATTGATAGGTACGGCTGCAGACAACAATTACTGAAAGAGACACAACTACCACAGTGCAAGAAATCACTTTTGCAGCAATGCACGGCTCCGGTATCGAAGTCAATCTCCCGAATCGAATTGAACTGAACAGACTCCCCAGGAAGGCGAGGACGAGCATCAGCCACCATCCGAGTTGGAGGATGCCGATGAAGAGGTCAATCCAGCGTACATGAGGTCCGGTGCGCCCGAAGCGAAAACTGGCCGCGCAATGCTAGGGTGTGGGCGACCCAGCCGTTGGTATCCCCTGGTGACCCAGTCTCTATAATGCCAAGTATAGAAGGATGCATAAGTGTATTGGTGCCGCCTGTGCTATCCCTCGGCCAATACACTTCGAAGTGGTAAACCTTGCGCCATTCCCGATAGGTGGTTGAGTCATCCGGGGCTGGTCCCAAGGTGTTCTCGGCGACTGGATGCCACGGACCCGGTACATAGATCCGAATCCATTCTACACTCGTATTCGCGGGGCCATTGACGATGTCGTAGTCAAAGTAGCGAGGCAGGACCCATCGTGCTGCGCTATACATTGTACAATTGAACATATCAACCAGGCAAACCGCTCAGAGTCAAATGAAAGCGGCGAACAACTGGAGACGGAACGCACAACACCAAGCAAGACAACTCAACATGGAATCGCACACAAAGCAAGCACAACCGCGTCATTTTATCCGACATGTTGCTCAAGTATCACTCCGAATCGTTCCAAGGATCATAGAATGGTGGTGGTGACGGCTCTCGCCACGCCCCATCCGGAACCGATGAGTCCACCGAGGAATTGGCGTCTGCATTCACGAGCATCGCGAGTCCAATGGCTGGTAAAGGAGCTCCAAGTCGTTGATACCCTCGTGTTTGCCAGTCTCGGTACTCCCACACGTGGTAGGACACATACGAACTGGGCGTGACAATGGGATCCGCTGTTGTTCCTCCGGTGCTGTCTTCGGACCAGTACACTTGGAAGCGATATGACCTGCGCCACTCCCGATACGTGGAAGCGTAGACCGGGGCGAGCACTGGAGCATCATCGGGAACGGGTCGCCACGTGCCCGGTGAGTAAATTCGAATCCATTCCACTCCTCTCTCGATCTGGTACTCGAAATATTGAGGGTTCATAGCGGCAAGACAGGCTATCGCGCGGCCGCTAAAAGCAATCGAAAATCTGCGGCGAAGACACACATGCTGTCAAGAGACGGCAAGGTGACGTCCCGTGGGACGCTATGCACCGAACCCTCAAGCTGTAATACCAACCACGTAGAAAGGTGTATACGGACGATGCCGTTATAGCCGAACCCGTGTAAACGTTGTAAGGGAGAAGGAATGATAGTTACAACAGTAGTCCTGACAAATGCAGCGCAAGCGAAGTGTTTTCGCTCTCAATGCCGATCACGTATGTATGCAGTCACACATCAGATCTTGAACCTCAATTGTGTCTTGAGCCAAATGGCGATCAATGGAACTTGGGAAGCAACACCAACAAGGACCTCAGAACAGCTACCCAATTTCGGCACGGGGCCTAGAGGGTTTTAACATCCCCCATTTGGGTCGCATTGTTCATCATGCGGTCCAAACACCACAAAACGTTCCACTGGCCACGGCTTCAACTACGAAATCGTGTCGTGCATTCTTTTACTTGCTATCACTACACCGTTCATTCGCTGTGAAACATGCCGGGTTCGATTGTACGAAAAGTGAAACATTCATCCTCCAATCGAAGCACACATCCATATGCAGGTGTATATAATACACAATCGTCGCGTCATTTGACCACCAATGAACAATCCAGCTGCCGCATTTGCGCATCGCGCAGCTGTCATCCATAAATGGGTTGGCCGAAAAAAAGTCCACCAGAGGCGCCTGCTCGCAATCGGTCTGCATAATTCCGGCAAAGAAACATCGGTGAGTAATCAATGCAAATCATAGCCATTCCAGATACCATGGACAATGCATAAATAATGAAAAGATATCATCTATAAGGTAATAGTTCCATCCATGAATATCCAGAGCGTCATAGTCATCGGAATATGTAACCATGTACACACCCAATCATCTTGGACACATGAATATAAATCATGACATAAGTCGTTCCACCGAAACAGTGTCGATGTGACGCAAGTAACAGATGGGGACTGACCCACATCGTACCGCAATCAGCATCTTCACGAAGCATACCTGTCCCCAATGGACAGCCTATGGGTACGTCGGCGGAACTCCTCGTCCAAGTTCTTCTGGGCTTCTCGTGCCCGGACACACTTC